GACTGAACATGTTCTGGTGGGCATATTATTATGGTCCTTTTATTTGTCTTTTTTGAAGCAGGGTGTCCCTGTAGCCCCAGCTGTTCTGGAACTCACTATGTAGACCAGGCTGGCCTTGAACTCACAGAGATCCACCTGCCTCTGCCTCCCAAGTGCTGGGACTGCAGGCATGGGCTACCACACCCAGCTGGAGAGCTGGCTAAGCCATTAAAGGCTCAGGCTCACAACCAAAAAGACAAAAATGGTCCTTTTTAAATCCTCTAATGTTTCAATAGTTATTAGTTGGTATTCTGCTACAAGAGAAAGATCTCATTTTCTTGTTTGGTTGCTTGTTTAAACAGTTGTACTCAAAGGTTCTTATTTTATTCCATAAATACCTTATTCTTATCATATTTATTTTGGTGCTCAAATTGACTCATATTTAGCTTAATGTCCCTTTTCTTATTTCCTCATCATTTTTTGACTGCTTCTTTGCCATCTGGCAAAAAAAGAAAGATGATCCAATTTTAGGACCAACAATTTCTCCAAGTTTCCCTGGGTCATTTTGGGAGGCAAATAGATTAAAAAGATCAATGTCTAGGTGCTAGATATGATTATTGCCCTGCCATATGTTTGTGTCTAAGCCCTTTATATGAACAAAGCATGCAAATGTGGAGAGAGAGGGGAGAGAGAGAGAGAGAGAGAGAGAGAGAGAGCTCAATCATATGCTAATAACACTGATAACCACAATTGTAATTCAACACTATCGACTTATTCCAGTCTTCCCTCTTTACCTGTGCAAACTCCTTCTCATTTTTCTGTGTGCTAATTCATTTGTTCAATTCTACCATTCTTGAACTCCTACCACTGAGAAAAACAATCTTTCTCGATGAAGTTCAATGATTATTTATTTTGGTGTTTAGAACTTGATTATATAATCAAATAACCATTTTGGATAATTGCTTATTTTCTTAAAAGTAATATTCATCTATGTGGTTGTTAGTCACCTTAACCTATATGGCTAGATTCTTTTGTTCCTGATTTTATTGCACTCACTCCATCCATCTTTGCTTATTTCATTTTATTAAAAAATAAACATTTCTTCAAGAGTAAAAACTCTATAAAAAGTTCTCGGAGAAATGTCATCATTCCTCCATCCTTTCTGCTTAAAAAAAAAAAAAAACGAGGTAACTAGTTTTATTAGTTTTTTAATTCATTAATCCTGACTTTATTTTTTTAAATAAACATGCACAATTTTTTTTCTCTTTTCTCTCTTACAGAACAGGTAGCAGATTGTGCATAATTTTTTGTACTTTTGTTTTTTTTATTTAATAACATGTCCTGGTGGGGGGTTGGAGAGTGGTTTACAGAGGTCGGTGGTTTAGACCACTGACTGCTCTTGCAGAAAACATTAGTTCAATTCCTATCACCCACATGGGAGCTAAGAACTGTCCATAACTCCAGTTCCAGGAGAAGCTAACACTCTCTTCTGGCCTCTGCAGGCATTGCACAACGTGGGTACACTTACATACATGCAAGCAATACATTTATACACATAAAAATAAAATCTTTTAATAAAAAACAGTATGTCCTGGAAATAATGGATAATGGTTCACATCAGATAGTTCTCAATTTTTTCACCATCTAGTCAATGTCCCACTGGGAGATTGATTTTGTATGGAATTTATGCTGTTATAAGTGTTTTGTAGTTAAAAATAATAAGTAATGTAAAAATGGACTTTTATTTCATTGGAGACACAAACCATAACCTTTAATGAGCTATATTTTTTATCCTCACGCAAAGGAATGTTTATGACAATGTGCTGACTGAAAAGCTATATAGGATCATGTGGTCTAGAAAACTGTAACTACATTTTGTGGAAGTAAAAATTATATCATCTGTTTGTATAACTGCAAGGCAAGTGTGGTCTCTAGGAAGTATAGGTAAAGTTGATTAGATTGCAGTGTATACTTAAAAGTTGAATAATGTACCCTTGTAAAACACTCTTCAAAATTATTTAACTTCCCATGATATCATCACAGCATGTGCAAAAAAAAAAAAATCTGTAGTGTTATCTTTTCCTGTCACATGACTAGAACAAACAAAAGAAATCCTTATCTTTTTGTTTCTATTCGGGTCCTTTATAAATCAGCATTAAGCACCATTCAAAACTTAAACATTAAAGCTTTGGTTTGGGGAAAAAAGATTGGTTTTACATTTCAAACAAATTGCATCTGTTGAATTCTAAAGTAAAAAATTTCCTCAACAATTCGTGTAGGATATTTTATGCAGAGAAAACCTTACAGTTTTGAGTTGTCTTTCCTGTATGTGTTTTCACACTTAAACCTTAAATACAGTGAACTACAGAGTTATGTTACCCTTATTTTACACAATAAAGCATACTGGACTCTGAACTAAGACCCGACAGAATTCAGGACTTTTTTCCTCAGTAAAGTGAGTATGCCTATCTCATTGGGTTACCGTCATGACTGAATAATGGAAAGCACACGAAAATGCTAAGGTACACAAAGACAAGGCAGTTCTGTTATTAAAGCATTTGGGCTTTGGTAACCATGTGTGAAAGCTCTCTCAAACGAGTGTGTGTGTGTGTGTGTGTGTGTGTGTGTGTGTGTGTGTAAAACACAAGAGATTTAAAAATTCTAAGAGCTATAGATTACACAGCAGGATTTAAAGTGCTCCTGTGAGGATATAAAGATGGATTAGTACTTCTAGGAGCAGGTGACAATAATATATATTCATTGTGGAGTAATTAACAACATTATATGTTGCATAGAACTTAGATCTTGAAACAAACCTCATTAAAAGGCACTTGATCTAAGTTTAAAACTTTTAAGTAGCTCCTCTTTAAAAGTGATCAATGTATGTTCTGGTTACTTTAGTTATCCCACTATGAGATTCACACAACTTTGATCTAACTTTCTTTGATTTAACACTGCAATTAAGAAGATTTGGTTCAAAGTAAAAGCTCATTGGTTGATGTTTTACACTGATGTGATAATGTTTACACAGATGTGCTTTGAAATCTTGATTATTGTGGATTTGGGGGTCCCACCACAAGACAGGCTGATGTTATTTGAAAACTAAAATAATATGACATTTACTTGGTACAACTTTTAAAATGGACTTAGCAATATATGTTTCTAAAGTGATTTATCTGTTTATTGTTTTTAGCTAGTGCTTTTGTTTTATTTTGTATCTATCAACAGTAAGTCACTTGCTTTAAAGACTCTTTTATAACTTGGTTGCACAAGGGTCAGTAGTTAAGGCTTCAGTGACAAAAAGGTGTAACTCTACCTTCTTTAAGCACCTGCCAATTAGTTAACCAAGGGAGGAGGAGGAGGAGGAAGAGGAGGAGGAGGAGGAGGAGGAGGAGAAAAAAATAAATCAGTCAGTTCCATCTGAGCGCCAGATTTAGTGTTTTGCTGAACAGAGCATGAGACAAGGTTGAAAATTTAATCTGAAGCTATACTCTAAAACTTTTTGTTCAGGGAAAGCATACATCTGCCAAATGATTTTCAACTTTTCTGCCACTGAAAACTGTCACAGAAACCTCTTGAGTTTAGCCGGTGGTATAAAGTTTAAACATTTAAATGGACACATGCTTAATTCCCTCAGGTCAATTTCAGTTTGACAAATATGTATAGGTACTCTTAAAATTTACCAGTAAAATTTGACGCCTCAAAACACACCAGGAACCAATATCATTTAGTTGTTTTGAGATTTTATAATTGAAATCTCAATTATAAAGTTGAGGAAAAAAAAACTAGCTTCTAGGAAATTGCTAAGAGCAAGGAGGTGCTCTTAGATGGAAAAAAAAGGCCAGAGACTGGTCATCGTTTATGGCACTATTCTAAACACTCATTTTATATTTATAGCAAAGTATAAGAGTGTGAACCAGCCTGTTTGGATGTACTCTTAATTTCTTGATTCCTGATTATATTGTTATTTTACTATGCTAATTAAAAGCCCAGGATCTTAGCAAACAATTCAGGCTTCCATATAGATATAAGGCAATCTTAGTTATATCATTTGCTAGCTCAGGAAAGATAAACATTAAAGAGAACTTGAGAAGGGGGCAGGGTGTTCCTAACCTGAGCTTGATTATGTAAAGAAAATCCCCCATCTAAATGATAAAAGAAAAGAGTAATGCGTGTACATTTTATTAGTGTTTTAAAATTAGTGAGTTAAACTGTCAAAGCTTTGATTCTGCTTTTATGTGTGTCTGGGCAGGTCTAAGCCTCAGGTAACGCCCTTTTTTTTTTTCCCTTCTCCCTCCCTTACCTTTCTTTGCACCTGTCCACTGTAAGCTCCCAGCAGCTCTCCAGGAGTCCAATTCTCCGGGCTCTCTTCTCTCCCACCCCTCTCCTGTTCTGTGCCCCTCCCGTCCCCTTTTCCATATTCTGCAAGCCCGCCTCCTTGAAGCTATCTATGTCTGCAAAACAGTTCACATCAAAGGCGGGTTGCACAGCAGCGGCCAAAGAACATCGCGATTGTCCTAGAGACAATCCAGAGTAAGAGGGGCCTCGGCTGAGCCTCCCCGAATTTGCTGACCGACTTTGGCCAAGCGCAGGAATGATTTTTGCAAGTGCATGGATAAAGACCCGTCAAGGGCCCCTTTTAGTCACTTCCGAAGAGCAAAAACGTGTTGAGAGGGGGCCGGTATAAGATTTCAAACAAAACCAACCTCCTCAGCGAGCATGAAAGGACTTAATTAGCATATGTCAAGAGGACCAGCATATATTCCCGGAGTGTATGTACACAGGACTCTGATCTGATCAGTTTGCCGACCTGAGCCCCAGTCCTCAGCCCCAGCCGCAGCCCAATATCAGCAGCCTCAGCTCTAGATGTTTCTGCAAAGCCAACATCTGGCTCTCACCTACCCAAGGAGAGAAGATCGCTCCAAGACAGTGCATCTTCCCTACTTCAGCGCACTGTCCCTGCAGCGACCTCCCAGGAGTAACCCAGCCTTAACTTTTTGGCTGTGATCTCTCTGTATTCACCTCGCCACCCTCCCTACACTTTTTACTGGGATTTGCTTGTTTTCCGGATTTTCACTTTCAGGTCTGGCCCCTCCATGGCTCCCTTAGCCGAGGTTGGGGGCTTCCTGGGCGGCCTGGAGGGTTTGGGCCAGCAGGTGGGCTCGCACTTCCTGCTGCCTCCTGCCGGGGAGCGGCCGCCGCTGCTGGGCGAGCGCCGGGGAGCTGCGGAGCTGGGCGCCCGCGGCCGGCAGGGCTCAGCGGAGCTGGCGCACCTGCACGGCATACTGCGCCGCCGGCAGCTCTACTGCCGCACCGGCTTCCACCTGCAGATCTTGCCCGATGGCAGCGTGCAGGGCACCCGGCAGGACCACAGCCTCTTCGGTAGGTACAAACATCGCGTCCCTGCGCTGCCCAGCTCCGCTCCTCTTCCTCTCCTCGCCTTCCTCCCTGCACGCCAGCCGACCTGCCAGGGTTGCATGCTGCCGCCTCCCCTGGACCCATCCGGTGCCAGGTGGCAGCTGGGGCAGAAGTGTCCGCCAGCTCCGGACTTGGAAGGAACTGCCTGTCTTGCAGGACCCTGAAGGACTGCAGCTCCTGGCGCTAAGGGGGACGGGGGCGGTGGGGATGGGGGAGAGAAAAGGTGGGTGGGTGATCCCGGGTTACTCTCTGTCCTGCTCTTCCTACTGACCAAAAGGGACACCAGGTCCTGGACTGGGAACCATTCGCTTCTTGGGTGTTTTCTTCGCCTTGTGCTCTTTACCTTTCAGGCTTGTTATTTTAAAAGATTCCTATATTATTTTCTCTTCCTTCCACACATCTTGGACTGTGTTCACTTTTTGAAAATTAATAACTGGAAACATTTCATTTCTTGAAATCTGCGCCCCAGTTGTGCGGCTGATCTACCGGTGGCTTCCGCTGAGGGGACTTGTTCTTATCTGGGTTGTTAGCTAGTCTTTGCTAGCCCACCTAGAAGACTAGGTGGCTGCAGTTCTCTGAGCATCTAGAGAAGGGGAGGGGAGAAAGGGGGAGAACTGAGCATGCCCACTCTCGGCGAGATCCTCTTTAGAAATTGCGAAACTCGAAAGCAGAGATCTTGGTATTGACCTTAGGTAAGAGGAAATGGGAAAGCGAAAGAAGATATGGCTGGGAACACAGAGAGTCTTTTCAATACACCCGCAGCAGTGCCTGAGAGCAGAAGGGGTTAACTGAGAGAAACAAGCTGAAGATGAAGACTGCCTATTACAGACATCAGATTAGATCAGTAAGGTCTCTACTGTTAATTACTCCTCAACTAACAAGAGCCTCCTCAGTATGTGTTATTTTCTTATCTGTACAATAAAGGGTTAAACCACACTACCTTTTAAAGAGCTTTCTGGGTCTAACACCCCAGGATACTTACTTCCCCCATAGCTACATTTTTCATCTTGTAGTTAACCTGCTAACATGCTCAAGGGATTTTTGCTTATCTAACTGTGATATCATTGGAAAGATTCATTATGTTTTTTAGAATACACATTTACTTTTTAGCAGCAAGTGGAAGCACAGACAGTTCTTTCCTTTCCACTATGGAATTCCTTGACAATCAGTTCTGAGAAGCTCTTTCTTAGCTCGTTCTGCCTCATTCTTATGCTGCTATTTCTTCCTGGACTTGTAGAACTCATTAAAATGTTGGGGAAGTGTACATCTCCACTCCAGGGGCATTTGTCACTTTAGATGTAGAAATAAACATGTGGTGGTCATTTGGCAGCACTTAAAGGCTTAGAAAAATTACCTTTTTAAAATCCATGTGTTCACAACTTCTACTGATCTCTTCAAAATTCCCACTGACTCAGAGTCAAGAGTGTCATGACCTAGTGGCCAACCTGGGGTCACTTTTGGAAAGTTTCTTTTTTTTTTTCTTTTTAAGTGGAGGAAGCTGAGATGCTTATTCTTAAGAATTTGCTGACGCCTGATGACTCAGTTCTAGCCCTTTAAGAATCACTACACTTTATTCATTACACAGCAATCTTCCAGTATCAGAAAGATTTAAAAATGAATACAAACATGATGTTGCTTATAAGTAAACAGAAAATTAAACTTAGGCAATGTTCAGATTTTCCTCTGTAATGCCAATGTAGGGAGGGAATTCTTCCTTCAAGACCTTGTCATTAGTTGTAATCTAGTTCATGAGAGCATTCCTCTATTGTTTTGTGTCTCTTTATAAGACTGACTCTATTCAAAGAAATTAGTAAATATTTGCAGATGTGATAACATTCACTGAACTGGTATTTAAATCTATTCTTTTAGGAATGGGCTGTTACATATCACAACTACCACCTTACTAGTCTATTTGAAGCCCGAATTTTGTAAGATTATTTGTAAAATATGACTTAGACTGATTTTGTGCTCTCTTAAGTCATATTTTGGTGAGAGACTATATGTAGAAGAAAAATACTCACTGTTACATAAAAGGAAGACAGCCCATATTATTCTGATAGCCTAAAGGATCAAACAGCCTCCTTATGGTATCTTATAGTGCTTCCTAGTGGCTTTCAATAGCTAAGACATCACAACTTACGCCACAGAGTACAGATGACAAGAAAGGTCATATTTAACATGTACAACATGTGTGCATCTCTGTCTTTTGCTAGTGCCTCAATCACTAAGTATTAAATTATATCTGTTTTTCTTTTAATCTCATTTCTGTGATATTAAAGCAACAGTTTTGAAAAACCTCAAGGAGAGCTACTGAAGATTAAAATACCATTTAAAAATAATTTTATACTAATTTGAACATGACCAAATACAAACTCAGGTTTATATATTTTTCAAAATTTTAATATTTTATTTATTTTTATTTTATGTGTATGAGTGTATTGCCTGCATGTAGGGAAGTACACTCATGTCTTGCAACGCCCTCAGAAGACAGAAGAGGCCATCAGATCCCCTGGAACTGGAGTTACAGACAGTTGTTAGCTGCCATGTGGGTGCTGGGATTCAAACCCGGGTCTTCTGCAAGAACAACCAGTGTTCTTAACCGCTGAGCCATCTCTCCAGCTCCAGGTTTTTCTTTTTTAAAAAAAAATTTCAAAATTTAAAAACCACGTCAATAGAACATAAACAGAAAGGTCTCAGGGAGGTTAAAATAATTTCCTATCTGAGCTATCTTCATATTTATAGTAGAGTTTTCCTGCACAGTAATACAGAAGGAAGACATTACCTAATACATAAACATGGACTCATTCCTTTAAAAAAAGTGTAGCCTGAGATCAAACATATTCATTTAAAGCCTTTTCCTTTATTCTCCCCTATTCTCCATAGATTTGTCTGATGTGGTTGCATTGTGGGTTGACTCACCTGTTTATTATGATTTTTAAAAAGGCAGGCTTTGAAAATGATACCAGAAAGACAAAAGACCTCCAAGTCTTTTTATGGGACACTGGGCATTAGAAAATCTATCTAAAATCTGTGATTACCTCTTAAGGAAAGTTTTTTTATGTCTATTCTTTGTAAAAGAATTAGCTTAGTTGCCACCTCATATTCTAAATAAGAAAGACTTGTCAAATCTCATTTAAGAATCAAACGATTACAAATTACTATGTGGTATACTATTTCCTTGAAGAGAAAAAGGCTCAGAATTTAAAAGTGTGGCTAAAATCTTTAAGAGGAGCACACACAGAAAAAAACACGTAACCTTTTCCCCATCAGTTCCGTAAGCCATTGCAAAATTATGTATGCCTAGTTGTGTATAAGGTTTTAGATATTGTTTAATGTTTAAAAGTTAAAACTATTGGTGTAATTATTCTGAAGACACATGCAATCATTCAACTTTGTGTAATTACATATTTTGGACAAGCTAAGAGCATTATCATAGGTAAGATTTAAGGTGTAGGTGGAGTGTGTCCTGAGGTAGAAACATTGGATGCATGTCAGCCATAGTATGCTTTTTAATTTGAGTGAATATTCAACATAATTTAAAGTAATTAAACATTTATAATTATATCCTGGATGAGATTCATTTATATGTATTTATAACAATTATGTTTCAGGCCTATATTTTGTTCCTAACATGAATCTTTCACTGATAAGCTTGACAAAGAGTTTGATTTTCCTTCAGTCCCCATTCCACCATTGTCGTTGCGTTGGTGTCCTGTGCAGTGCAGATCTGCCTACTGCATCTTATCTTCTTTCTGCTTTAGGCTCGCAGTTAGGGACACTGGCTCTTTCAAACCACTTACAGGCTATTTAGTAGTGTATTGTGCTGTAAGATCCTTGATAGCTTCAGTGTTCTCCTGGATCTCCTAATAGTTTGAAAGAGCTATTTGTCTTACTAAGAATCTATGTTTCTGCCAAAGAGTGAATTAAGCTCTGGATAGAATAGAGTCTTCCATATCAGCAAAGAGTTAGCTTCTGTGCTTTCCCTTGGCCTTGGGAATATCACGTGTCCAAACAGGAACTTGTACAATAAATCAAGAAGCGACTAAGAGCAAGAGTCAGGCTAAATGGTGCACATTTACACTGTTTGTAGAGCTTAAGATGGGGTGAAGAGGTGAAGGTAAAAAGCTATTCAGATCCAAGTAAAGAAAGTATGGTGATACTTGTTCAGCAGTCTAAGGGAAAGAACTAGAAAAAGGCACTAATCCAAAAGTTAGTGTGCACAACAAAAAAAGGGTACTTCAGAAAGAGGCAGTGCATCTTTCTAAACTGTGCTCCATTAGTGTATCAAGTTGAGAGCCTTCAAAATTAGTTTACTTGTTAATATTAAAATGACTCCAGAAAATTATGGACAGAAAAATCTACTTGTATGACAAGCTCTTGGTATTTGGCTATCTTAAGTAAAAAAGTATAAAGCCTTATAATTTCTGTGAATTATACAATTCATTTTTATGGAATCATGTGATAGGAAATAGCACATTTTATAATCTACCAAGTCTTGAAACTTTTGTACTACCCTCAAGAAATGATGTTCTAGAGTAGAAACATTGGATTAGGGCTCACAAGATGTGAGTTCAAGTACCATTGTGTCCCTTAGGCATGCCAGTAAATGTTCATGACCTCAGTTTCTTTACATCCAATACTGGTGTGAAAATACCTTCCCCTCTTATTTTAAGGAATTTGAGTCTAGATTAACAAATAGGCACAAATACCTTTGTAAATTACAAAATATTGTTATAATAATATACAGTATAAGAGATTGGCTTGATTCTTGTAAGTAAAATCAAAACAAATCATAGAAAATATTTGTAATTAACTGGTAGAGCCTTGGAGGACAAGAATGCCTGTTACGTATATCTATGCTACTGTTCACTTGTGATAATACTAACTTCCATTTGTTGAAAACGTAAAGGTATTAGCATCATCTATCTCTTGTGAGATGTCCATTAATAAAAGATATTTGTATTAATAAGAATAAATTGTTTCATTTATAAATTCAGGTATCCTGGAATTCATCAGTGTGGCAGTAGGACTGGTCAGTATCAGAGGTGTGGACAGTGGTCTTTACCTTGGAATGAATGACAAAGGAGAACTCTATGGATCAGTATGTATTATTGCTTTCTCTTACTACTATAATTCTTGAAATGATTCTCCATTTTAATCAAAATGTCTGTCAATAATGTCTACCAGACTTTATTGTATATGTCTTGCATAAATTATATATCTCTACATAAAATATGCAGAAATTAGAAATCAGTATACTAAATTTCAGTTTAGTATTCTAACTCCAGTTTCAGAAGATGCTTCTTCTGACCTCCACTGGCATTGCATGACACATGTGCCCTTACATACATACAGGCAAAACACTCATACAGATAAAATAAAATAAATAGAATTTTAAAAATCTTCAATCATTCTTGCTACACCCACTAGGTCTTTCTGTCTGTTGTCTTGAGTTTTTCTAATTCCTCCATATTCTGATCATTCCCACGAGGAACAGAGAACAATGGGAGTCAGTTCTAGAAAAAGAGAAAAGTAATGCAGTGTATAACGATTAGATGATAGAATTAATCAAATTCTGAGAAAATACACATGCACACAATCTTCATGCATGTGTTGGATTATCTAAAACATCTACA